AACCAATTGATGTTTCTCTCTCTCCCCCTCTCCCTTCCTCTCTCTCTAAAATCAATAAAAAAAATTTAAAATAATAATAATAAAAAGAACAGATAAAGCCAGAGCCATCCCTCCATCTTCTTCCTGCCTTAAACAAGAAAGTGATGCTTAGAGCAACCATTGTCACCTACCATCATGTGAGAAGCCACTATACTAAGAATGGCAGAGTGGAAACTTCAGAAGAGCCTCAGACTTGATGATGTATTTGAGCGGCTTCTTCAGTTCTGGATTGCCAACCTCCAGACCTATTGTGGGAGAAAAATGAATCCCTATTGTTAAACCACCTTGAGCTGGATTTTCTGCTACTTATAGCCCAGTTCATCCTAAATTCTCATTGAAGACAAGAGGAAGCTGGATAACATAATCCAACAGCCAAAGTTCACTTGAGGCAAAGGTCACTGTGAAATACAGCCTTTATTTTAGGTGACCATGTGCCCAACTGAAAATTGAAAAAGCTCTTCCTAATATAAGAGGACAGCTAGAGGTATTTTCCATAGGAGGATCCAAGCCGCTGGTGCTCAGCAGTACAAAGTCACGTTTCCTGTCCTCCCTCGCCCCCTAGCACCCTACAAGTACAAACTCAGACTGATTAAACTAGAATCTTGGAGATGGCAAATCCCAGGCTCCACATTTTTTAAAGCTTCGTGGTTGATTCGAACGAGCAGCCAGGGTTGAGAACTTTTGCTTTTAATGAATATATCTGTTTTAGGAAAACCTCTATTTTTATCCACTTCCTCCTTCTAAGATTTACATATTTTGAATTCAGTTATCTGGATCTCTGAACAGAGGTGGGAAATACCAGACGTGAGATACTTACAGATATCTGTTTCCCCCCTCCCCTGTAGATTAATTGTAATGCCATGAATCTTGAATGCAAACTACAGACGCATGCTTTCTAGAGCATCAAGAGAGAGCCTGTTGAGTGACATATTGCCATTCTGCTACATTTTTCTGTCAACTGCTTCAAGTGTCACCAAAACTCCCGCCTACATAGCAAGGAGACATAATCCCACTGCTCTTCTGTCCGAAACTTTTTCTGCAGCCTAGAATCCTCTTTTTAACCTGAGCCTTTTTTTTTATCTTCCAGAGTAGAAAATGTTTCTACTCTTGCTTTTTATCAGAGGCCTTTTCTGCTGTCTCAGTTCAGCCTTATGTATGTAGTGGTTATAATATATCTGGCCACAAAACTTGGCTATCTAAAACCCTGTATTTCCCATAACTGACTCCAGTTTCTATCATGAGTCCCCATTCTACTTGATGGCAGAACTGGAAGCAAGTCAATTCCAGGTAAACTCAGTCCATTCAGGGTTTTTCTCCCTCCCCAGAGAGTTTGGAGGGGACTGTTAGAACATCTGGACATGGAGAGGGCTCCTCTGGTCCTTGGTTGTCATCTGTCCATGCTAGCATCCTCTGCTATGCCTTGTTCCTAGAAGTCACCAATTGTCAGCATCTCTCCCCGCTGGCATCCACAGAGGCAACTGAGTTCCCATCTGGCCTTGGATATAAGGACAGTGCTGACATCTGCTCTTGGGCCCTCTCTTCCCAATACAAAGCATCTCCTAATCTGCCAGGCCTCCTTGAGATAGTCCTGAGCCTGTCTCACACAAGCGTGGATGCACGGCTGGCTATTCCAAGCTGGGAGACTCAGGACTGACCTGCAATGCTGAGATTTCTTACTCTACCCCCTCTGCCTCCCCCCCCCCCCCCCCCCCCCATATACACTCCCTATCCCCTCACACACAAGAGCAAAGGGCTAGAGAGTCTCAGACCTTAATCTTTCCTGGGATTCCCTGGGAGGACAAAGCAGACCCTCTCAGCCCTTGAGCCCCGCATTCATCATCAACCCAGAAAGGGGCCAACTCAGGGCCACCCCTTAGAGCAGCCGTGGGCAAACTATGGCCTGCAGGCCAGATCCGGCCAGTTTGAAATGAAAAAAACTAAAAAAAAAAAAAGACCGTACCCTTTTATGTAACGATGTTTACTTTGAATTTATATTAGTTCATACAAAAACTCCATCCATGCTTTTGTTCCGGCCCTCCGGTCCAGTTTAAGAACCCATTGTGGCCCTCGAGTCAAAAAGTTTGCCCACCCCTGCCTTAGAGACACACAGCAGTCTTTTCCCTCTTCTCCCTTATTCCGCGTTCACAGAATCTTCACCTATCAGAGCAAACAGGAAAAACTGCTGGCTCAATGTGTGGCTACAGAGTAGGGGCAAACAATAACCTTTAAACATATAATCAATAATTTTAATTAAATTTTAATGCACAAAATATACTTAAAATACATTAACACTTCAAAAATATTTTTTTTTAAATGGGAACTTTTTATTTCAAGAAAAATGATTTTAAATATAATAATGTTACATGCAATAAACATTAATATTTTAAGAAAAATGATCTTAAATATAATAAGACATGCAATAAATATTAATATCTCATGAAAAACAATTTTAAATATAATAATGTTACATGCAGTAAACACCAATTATTCAAGAAAAATGATCTTATATGATAATATTACATGCAATAAACATTAATATTTCAAGAAAAAAGAATTTTAAATATAATAATAGTTCCCAAACTGTACTAACATAGTATGATATCACAAAAGTTGTAGGAAATATTAAAAATATTCTACCACATCTCCTTGTCAGAACCTCAGAAGTCTGCCTTCAATTCCCTCATTCTCATCAAGAAAAATTACATTAAAAACTGGACACAATCCTATCTAATAAAAGACAAAAGGGTAATTGACTGTACCTTTGCTACGCTTCCCATTGGCTAATCAGGACGATATGCAAATTAACTGCCAACAAAGATGGCGGTTAATTTGCATACGTAGGCTCCAAGCAGTGGAGCGAAGCCAAACGTACCCGAAGCTGGCCGAGCAGCGAAGCCTCACGGCCCCGGGATCAGCGGAGCCGCGAAGCTTGATGGCTGTGGAGGGGGGGCTCTGGCTGGAGCCCAGCCAGAGCAAAGGCCTGGGTCCCGGGTGCCAGAGGAAAACTGGTGCCACCAGCCAAGGGAAGGGAAGGCCTATTGCACGAATCTCTTCGTGCAACATGCATCTAGTTTGTTACTATAATAGCCAATATTTATTGAGGCTTTTTATATACCAAGCAGAGTTTCAAGTTCCTTACATTTATTATCTTATTTAACCCTCACAACAACCTGGTGAGGTAGACACCATTGATTACCCCATTTTATAAATGAGGAAATTGAGAGTTGTTGCTTGCAGTGACTGAGTCCATAAATGATGGCTCTGATCCAAAATCCCAGGTTCTGAATCTCTATACTATCTTTTATCGACCCTGTGAATTATAGACCTGACAAGGTTTTTCTCTTGGTCATGGCTACTAGAAAGCTTAGCAATAAAAACTGTATACATCTTGGAATGTCCTTATTCCTGGCTGTTACATAGGGTGTCCCAAAATTCACGCAAGATTTGAATTTTGCATGAGCATTAACAACAACAACAACAACAACAAAGCCTAATTTTACTTGGTTTATTGAATCAGATTCTAATATCTGTTGCCCTTTGATTTCAATCCCTTCAATTTGATAAGCAGCACCAAGTACCAATTATGGCCCAGGAGCAGGGACAATGAAGACCAATGAAGACCACGGCTTTGCCTATGTGCCAGCAAAGCCGTGGAGGCCATTTACCCGATGTGCTATTCCATACATAACCCTATACTGTATACTTTATGAATCAATAAAAAATTTACAATTTTTAATTATAAACCTGTGTTTTCTATCAAAATTGGGACACCTTATATATCCCTACATTTGTATTCTTTTTTTTAATTTCCTAATTAAATTCCCTTCCCATCTTTTATATATCCAGGTAAGTTGCCACATAGCCTTTCAGAAGAAGGCATTACATCCCCCTCCTTAGATTCTCATGACCTCGTCTGTCTCCCAAAGCTGCTTGCTCTGCCTTTATCACCACTCTGCCATGGGCCCTGCGCAGACTTCCCTGAGGCCCACCCCTCATGTCTCTACCTCCTCCCAACATTTCTGAACTCAAATGAAGTGCCAGAGAGACCAAGTGATATAAGCAGGAGTAGCAGGGAGTTTACTCTCTGTATGGTGCCTTTAGCCAATGGGCCACAGAAGATGGGAGGAAGACAGCAGATAAATATGCTCTCTGTGCCTATGTTCAATGGATCATTTCAAGGCACAGATTTTCTGAACAGCCCCTCCAGAAATACTCTATGCGCTCAGGCAATCCCCTATACATCTTCAAATCTTGTGAAGAAGTAGCCAGCTTGGTATTTGCTGAAATACTCACTGTCAGTCAGTGGGTGGTTGTGAGGGTAACTTCCAGGAATAGGTGGGTCACTGCAGCTGAAGGCAATTCTCCAGAGAAGAGGGCAGCTGTGAGCCATTAGCAGCCAACACTCATAGCATCTGGGGAAATGATGCTCTGACCTTGTAATGGGGTGGACCAATCAAATATCATCCACCACAGGAGATAAAAACAAGTGTATTACTTGGAAATTGATAGAAATTTGAGATATCAAGGGTCAAGTAGTCAGTTGAAAAGTCTATAACTCAGAGAAGGGGGTATGAATTGGATATATATATTTGGTAGTGGTCATTTAGATGGTATTTTTTTAAATCATGTGGATAGCTCTACTGATATGCTAGAAAAAGCTCTAGCATAGTGAAGTAAAAAGGAAGCTGCAGAATAGTGTTTATAATACAGCCTTTTGTATAAAAAAGAGGAAAACTAAGAATACACATACATATACAACAGGAAACATTTGCATTTACAAAAGGAAACCCTGGAAGAATACACAAGGAACTAATAAAAGTGCTTACCTGAAGGGTAACGGGGAAGAGGTGGATATGGAGAGGAATAGGCATGAGACTTCTTAACGTATTTTTATATCATTTCCGTTTTCTATGTTATTGCCTATTATAAAAATAAATCCTGTTTTAAATTTTGTTTTAAAGAAAGAAATCCATGTAGAGAGTTGAAATCTTCCATGAAGAAAGAAAGGAGGAGAGAGGAGAGCCCAGATCCAAGGCCTAAAGAAAATGGACGTTTAGAATTTTAGAGGAAGGACAACAAAAAGAGCAAGAAGCAGAAGGTAAGAGGTAAGAGGAGAAAACCAGGAATGAGTGGTGTTAGGATTCCTTTCATGAAAGCAGTGGTATGTGAGCTGTGGTGAAACCATTGGGAACCTTATTTAGCTGTGATGGGAGTATTTACATTGTGGGAAAAGGAAACGGATACACGTCAGGGCTTCTCCAGCTAGGAGCCACTTTGCCAGCACACCCCTGCATGGAGTCAGGAGAAGGAAAATTCTGAGAATGCCACCGAAAGACCAAATGAAACAAGGACAGAAAAATATCTGTCATTCATAGGGTTATCAACACGGAGGTCACTGATGAATCAACTAGAGCAGTTCCAGTGGAGAGGGGGGCATGGGAGCCTGACCCGGAGAAAAGAGTGAGTGAGAGGTAAGGAGGAGAAGGCACTAAGTAGAGACCACTCTTCCAATACGTTTTGCTGTGAAGCAGAGACATGAAATCAAGAAGTTGCTGATTTGGGATCAAGGGAGGGGAATGTATGCTTTAAGAACAGTAATGTTAAAGCCCATATGTCCACTGATAAGATTGTCCAAAAGAGAAAGACTGAGAGAAAAATGTTGAAAAGAGAGGGAAATGTCCAGAGCACACAGAGAGGGACTCTCATTTCTTCCATTAGAGGACGAAGTTTATGAATCTCCAAGCAGCATTTGTGATGGGGCGGTGCCCAGATTCACAAGGCCCTGCCATCTCCCTGCCAATGGAAATTCATTACTAACACTTTGACATTGATCTTAAGACAAAGTGCACATGTGTACCTTTTCTGGAGATGCATAACCAATTAATAAATAAATTTCTAGATATCTCCATGTCTCAAAGGAAGCTGGAGTACATACCTAAAAACCCACGACTCCAGCCTGGGAAAGAAGGGAACCTGCTGAAGTGTGTCAACATTCTAGACAAATGCCCCAAAAAGGTTAGGGGTATTACGTGTCAGAATTTCACTGTCTGCCACTTCTAGATTATACTTGAGTTAAAGTGCTAATGTTTGATTAATGCGTTCTTGCTTTTAGTAGCTCAGCTAAAAGCACAGCTTCTAGTGAGCAGACAGTACATTAAATCGAAACATAAAAGAGACTAAAAGTGCTCCAGAGACTGCTTTGAATGAGAAGGAGAAGGCTTAGACGATGGAGGTGATGATTACCTTAATTGTTTTGAAAAGGAAAGGACTGATCTTTCACTCAGAGGGAGGTGCTCCGGTCTTGGTAGCAGTTTTCCACCATCTTCTGGTTATTTGGCAGCTATGGAGACCAATGTCTTTTACGTGAATCACACTTGAATGGGGTCCTTGCTATGCTAACTGGGTGTTCATAGAGTTACGTTAATGTAATGCAGAAGGCCTTTGGACAAAATGCCTACCACCCTACCTGTGATGAATAGTAATTATCTATTTTATTATTCTCTTTAAAAATATTTTTTATTGTTGATAGTATTTTCCCTATTTTCTTATTCTTGTTACTACTATTTAGTCATTCATTTCTGAAAATTCTGCTGTTTCTCTGTTATTACCTGAATGTTGTGATCACAAGTAAATTGTTCCATGAAGGAAAAATTCGTATTTGCAATCCTGCTGGATTTTAAGATTTCTATTCAAATGAAGACCTGTCTATGAACAGTGTATCCAGAACAATGTCTTTTGTAACTGTAACTGACCAATTGGCAGCTTCTTATAGTTCAGGTGGTGTTTAAGTACATCTTCAGAGTTTCAAACTAGTGTTTGGGATTCAGCGACCTTATTCTTAACTAGAGGCCTGGTGCACGAAATTCGTGCATGGGGAGTGTGGGGGTGGAGGTTGTCCCTAGCCCGGCCTGCACCCTCTTGCAATCCAGGACCACTGGCTCCTAACCACTTCCCTGCCTGCCTGCCTGATCACCCATGACCACTCTGCCTGTCTGCCTGATTGCCCCTAACCACTCGCCTGCCTGCCTGATTGCCCCTAATCACTCTGCTGCCTGCCTGATCACCCCTAACTGCTCACCTGCCTGCCTGATTGCCCCTAACCATTCTGCCTGCCTACCTGATCGTCCCTAACCACCTCTGCCTTGGCCCCTGCCACCACGGCTTCATGTGGAAGGATGTCTGGAAGGTTGTTCGGTTGTCCGGTCTAATTAGCATGTTACGCTTTTATTATTATAGATAGCAATATATTGTTAAAAAAAAGTTTCACTTCATCCTGTTTGGGTGGGTTTCTGAGGACAAGCTCCTTAGAAGCAAAATCTGAATGGGGATTCTTGTGTAAACAATTTATTGACAGAATGAGAGAGTACTCTCAGGAAAAACCTGTAAGAGAGTGAGGGAAGCAGAATAAGGAAGGGAAATAGGTAGAAAAAGACGTGGTTTCCCAAGATGGCCTTGCCTCAGCCTGATCTCAGGGCGAGTTCTAGAGCATGAGTTGTACCACAGTTTGTTCTGCCTTGAGACAAGGGGGCTGAACTTTTATACCACCCCTAAGAGTCAGCCATTGGCTACAAGCCACTCTCCTGGAGAGGGGGTCATGACCTTCCTGTTTCCTGGGACTCCCATTGGCTCAGGGCAGCTGCCCAACGAAAGGGGAGCTGTGAGCTGCTATTAGCAGTCAACACCCGCAGTGAATGTGGAGCACTGGAGGGGACTGGGAGCCCCAACCTAGAAAAAGAGAGTGTGGGTGGGATAGTGATAGCACTGCCTCAGAGGGCAAATGGCCGTGGTGATTCCAATCCTGACCTTCATCCAGGAACAGTTTCAGCAGGGAGTGCGGGCTTCCTTCAGCCGTGCCATTTGGATCACTGCTGGTAGTTCTTGAATGTTCACTGGTTATATTTCTCAGGGATGGAAACAGAACTTCCAAGTGTTACCGACTTATCTGAGAACTAGAATTAGAGATGTTCAGCCCACAGTTTACTGCTTCTGTTCCCCTATTTAATGGTTGTTAAATACTTTTTAGGGCATTCCAAGTAGCAAACAACATATCAAAGGCACAAATCTTATTCTAGAAATACTTACATTTTACAACAATTGATACCATTAGGAATTGCCCATATAAAATGACAAGGATGACATCATTATTATGAGTCTAGCTGTCTCTTTTAGAAGGTCAGTCTCACAGGGCAAAGCTGTGGTTTGGATGAGTAATATGAAAAAAAGGCACAAGGCAGTTTGCTTGGTACATTATGTTATATTGTCAGGAGAAAAATAAGTACATTGTGTGCTCTGTGTAGTCTGTGACCAAAGGTTAATTCAGTAAACCATTCTCTGAGGTGAGCAGATGAGCTTCAGATGAGCAAAGAAACAAATCAATATCTGCTTCTGCAGCATGTTAATCACAGTGCAACTCCTTGCAGATTTCAATGCTTTTGTTCTGTCTGCTACTGAAGATGCTTTTCCAAAGCATGGATTTTATGTCCAGAAAGTTGAGTATAGGAATGCTCCGAGATCAAGTTTCTTGGTCAGGATCAATGCTCCCGGCCAGTAGGACTAGCACACTGAATGGAATGGCAGAACCTGAGTTCCGGAGCCGTGGCCACCTACAGGGTTGCTGGGTGGTGGGATTTCCTGGTAGGATGCAGTACACTGACAAAGGAACCTGGGGCAGAGTGCTGAGGTGAACTCAGCGTCCAGAAGAGAGATTGCTTTGTTCTATGACTACTAAAAACAATTCTCTTCGCAAGACAGGAATAAGGTGGGCCCCAGAGAGAACAAATGTGAGTGGGTGCCTAAAGAAAGGACAGAAGTCATCCCAGGAAAGCATTCCCAGTAACTCCCACCTCTGCAAAGGAGGGAATGTGGCTGACTAAGCTGGAAGGCATATTGGATTTCCCCATCATCTTCCGAATGCCTAATACTTAGTAAGAGCTTACTAAGTACGTGTTTAATTAATGAATGTTCTACAGGCCAATTAGTTTTAACATTCAAATTTAAACAAAAGGTATTAACTAGACACCTGCTTGAAAGGATAGCTTTTTGAGAAATGCTAAGTTTATAAGTCAACTCAAGAAGCCTTTAGGTTTCTCAATTAGCAAACCCTTTAAAAGATTCCATGAGAAAATCATGTTTCCTGGCTTCTTTACAGCCCCAAATTTCTCAGAACAGTTTTTTGTAGGTCAGTGTAGCAGCTGTCTGAGTACCAGTACTGCCCTTTCCACATCACTGAAAATAGCAATGTGGTCAATGCTGTAGCCCAGGAGTAAGCATCACAACCTCCTGAGGATCTTATTAACATTAAAATACAGATTTCTAAAAACACTCTAGATTATTAGTTATGAGGTCTAGGGTGGAGCTTAAAAATCTCATTCATAATAAACACTCCGGTAGTTCTGATGTGGATGTGTATCAGTAGGGTATTGCCACAATAATAATGCATCACTAACCATGCAAATCTCAGTGTCAGACAGCAATAAGCACCTCCTTTCCACTCACTCACACATCAGCAGGTAAACTGAGTACAGCTTATCTAGGCTGGACTAGGCTCCAACCTGTTGGTCCAGATCTGCTCCGCATGCGTCTCATCCTCCGTGAACTAACATCTACATGAGGCAGGTTCTTCTCATGGAGAAAAGCAGGAGTGTGAGATGGCAAACCCTACCACCCAAGCAGATGCCACGCCTCTGCTCACACCTTGTCTGCTAATATCCCATTGGCCAAAGGGAGAAACATGACCAAGACAAAAGTCAATGGAAGGGAAATATCCTGTGCTCATGGAATCCTGGTGAGGGGAGTAAATATTTGCTGATAATTCAATCCATCACAGGGTAGTACAAAGACTTTGTACTTTGAAAAGCACTAGAGTCTCTTGAACCAATCCAGGGAAGGTGAATGTAAGGTCAACTTTTTATTTAATTAGTTATTCAACAAATATTTATGAGTGACTACCAAATGCCAGACAGACAGGTAATGAGTCATTGTTTATCTGAAAAGAGTCCAGTCCAAAGGCAGATCAGCACATAGATAATCACAAGGCAATGTGCCGGTTACTATGTAACAGAAGCAACAGAGAGTTAGCTTAAAAGTCTAAAATTGACC